CGACTAGCTCATACACACACATTATTATATATATATATATATATATATATATATAATATATCTGACCATACCTTTTGCATCCCTACGCTCTACCATCGCCATCACGCGCATAAAGGTCTCCACTCCGCCGCGGTTGTACAGCGACACTAACGCATGGCCCAGCTGCTGTGTTGTGCAGTCGGTCAAGTTGTACATAAACCCCTCCAGCACAGACTTTCGCTCGAACACCCGGTCAATCACTACAGCTCCCGCAGACCGCCTCTGTGCGTCAACATGCTCATGTATAAATGCGTTCGCGGGTGTGCTCTCACTTGAGTGGGCGTGGGGGTCTGTGTGTGTGCGTGTGTGTGTGCGTGTGCGTGTGCGTGTGCGTGTGCGTGCTTTGAGCTCTTGCTGGGTCTTGATGTGCAGTGCGACGTACGAAGCTAGCTCTTCCGGGTGCAGGCGGCTGTGATCGGAAACGCGCATGGCGTACTGTGACGAGAAGACATGCGACAGAGGGATTAATATACGTACTGTGACGAGAAGACATGCGACAGAGGGATTAATATACGTACTGTGACACGAAGCAACCCGAATAGAGGGGTCGGTTTACGTACCAAGAGAAGTAAACCGAATAGAGGGGTCGGTTTACGTACCAAGAGAAGTAAACCGAATAGAGGGGTCGGTCTACGTACCAAGAGAAGTAAACCGAATAGAGGGGTCGGTTTACGTACAAAAAGAATTAAACCGAATAGAGGGGTCGGTTTACGTACAAAGAGAAGTAAGCCGAATAGAGAGATTAACTGCGTACTGTGAGGAAAAGTTAAACGGTGGCCAGGTGAATATATGTACTGAAAGGGGGAAGTAAACCAGATAGACAGATGACTATACGTAATGTAAGCAGAAGTGATCAGAATACATACCTGAGTAAACGTAATGTATCGAGAAATGAGCCGAACAGGTAAATGAATTGTCGTATAATATACAGAGAATAAAACGAATACAGAAAATCATATCCGTATCGTTCATTGTATAAACAGCCTACGCAGTACGGGCTGCTGTTGTGGGTTATGGTTTGACTATGCATTAGCGTAATGGCATACCATAGACAAACACGTACTTGGTTCCGGTTTCTCCAGATAAGGAATAAAAATCAGAACACTTGAAACATAAACCTGTGTGGGTGCAGGTGCACATCGATCCCCGCCTGTTCTAGGGTTTGGGCCGTTAGGTTTAGGACCCGGTGCTATAAATATCGTAAGCAATTGGTGTGTGACGCACACTCACCTCAGCCTCCTCTGATGCGTTCATCTGTAAGCAGAATCGCAGCATACGACTATTATGGTAGTTGAAACATGGGTCGTAGGCTAACACTTGGTATAAATAGATCGCTCTGCTCAGATCACCCCTGTGTGGGTTTGTTCCGGAGGTTTATTACATTTTTGAGAAGCGTTATACATTGACGACATCAAATGGGATGATACGATTTGC